ATACATATATATATGTATGACGCCCTATATCGATTCCCACTAAAACAGTAAAAATTCAAAACTTGGACCATTCTATAGGCTCCCATCTATCAAAATTGACATAAACTCTATTTCAACTTTCTATTAGAATTTCTTTGATAACATGGACATGTGTATACTCAAGTATAAGTTTGTTTACGTTAAAAGCTATCTGTACATCTAGCTTTGTTGATAAGTACTGAGTTTTTAAACGGACAAGTACTTAGCAAGGCAACAACTGTTTTCTTGCTTCGACTTTCCGAAATCTATCCAACTACAACACACGCGTGTTTAGAAACATTTACAAATATTTCTGAAAGTAAACATTTACAGCTTTGCCAATATGTGAGGATTTGAGTGATAGTATACACGCACACAGTTACTAACACAGTATTGAACTGTGTTTAAAAACTGTATTAGCGATTAATGCTGATTCTACAGCTCAAAAGTAGACCTGGCATAAGAATCAGAACACGATACGTACACCAATATAATCGATATCCAGATCATGATACTTCTTCGCTCCTTTAATCCAGTTGACGATGTAGGTTATGGTACGGATCGGGTGAAGAAAGGGAGAGTTGGTCCCGTTGTCTGCCAGCCAGCCGGGAAACGACCACGGCAGCCCATAGAGTCGTATGTCCGCATTCCTCTGTACAAACAAAACACGTCCATACACAATCTGTGATACGCAAGAGAGATACATTAGTCATTATAAGTCTGAAACAACTTATTTACCAGAATTAAAGATGTAGTGCAATTGAGACAATTTGAAATTTTTAGTGTGAGAATGTTCAAAACCTTTGTTTAAATTTGTTTATCTAAGGAAGCTTCTCAGCGTCCCGTTTCCAGGTTCTACGGTTTAGTAGGCGAGGTAGTGGCACCCGTTTTAAGGGTAGTGTCAGGTTGCGTCGATAGATAACAGAAACACAGTATTATGAAAACTACTCTTTGTGCTTTGTTTTACACCACAGAATATTCCTTACACGCACAATTCTACGATACTACATAGATGACTACATACACACAGAATCGTAACCGAATATCAGTAACCACGTACCGTGAGACGTGGATCGCGAAGTAGCTCGGCAGGGGTGAAGGTGGAAGGTGGAAGGTAGAAGGGAAAGGTGGCAAGGAGGAGTATAGAAAGAATAGGATCAGGAGCGCGGGCAAACCTGGACCGTGCTGCGGAAAAGATGAGAGCCGAGTCCCTACCTGGGGACTAGCCATCACAGATCGGCCCTCGAGTCATTAGTGTACTCGGATGCTAAGGGGCATTGTGTATAGTGATTACCTGCGGCGTTCTATTATTATGCATCACTTGGAGCGATGAGGTGTGTTGTTTATGGTGATTGCTTATGTGGGGCGGCTAGTGTAAGGCGGTATAATTAATATCTGCGGGAGCCTGCGCTATCCTACATTTAAACTTTTGTTTAATTTGTTTTAACTCCGTTGTAACCATTCCTAAATAAATACACGAGACGTGTGAATGTAACACATTACATTGAATTCACCGCCGATCAACTGAGATCGCCGATCACCTTCTTGGCTTCCTTCATGAGCCACCACTCGTAACCGCGGTTGTAGTTAGCATCATGTTCTGTATGCATGTGTGATGCCTCCACCCCATCAGAGCTCTGGCCATCTCCTCCTATTTCGACTTTTAGGATTTTTAAAGAGGCACCAAAGTTTGGCTGAAAGATTTGCAATATTTCTGATATTATAACCGTGTACTATTAGAAGTGAACAAAGTCACGCGTTAGTATAAATAGTTGCTCTGCAAGATACTTTTTTAGACATGGCAAATATAATTTAGATACAATTAGAGCGGCACTAACTTATTTTGATATTGTCTAGTTAGTTTAAACCAAAACTATTAATTTAACAGGAAGTCATTAAATGATACACGTTTTTTCTTTAATTTCAAAGTATTATTCTAGACATCTTTTCAAAAATACGGAAGAATCATTAGAAACACACCTACCTTAAACAGGAAATCTAAGATTTGGTTTCGATACTCTTCAGGATAGTTGATCAAAAGCTTAGACGTCGCCTGAAAGAAAACTTTACCTCGTTAACGTAATTACCTGCTTACCTGCATACCATACCCGATATCGGCCACCCATACAACTATGGTAATGGCAAACATCTCAGAAAAAAACCCTAAATTGAGATGGATAATTATTGAATGTTCCTTTACGGTTACAGTTTGCGTAGTGAATGGGATATCTTACAAACAAGCTATAAATAGGTTCGTATGAGTCATTTACTACCAAGTCGTCAGCTGCAACCAGGTAGTAGTGCTTATTTATGCCACGCTGGAATCGCAGGTAACGATTCCCAGCGTTATAGCATTCCAATAACTGAGATGCAGAAATAAGGAGACATGAATCATTGCTCTCAACCTCAGTTTGACTAGGTAAACATGCATTGTTTATGCCGAGAGAGTTATGCCTGTTATGGCATCCTGAAAACAGTGGTGAACATGCCACACCATCATTAACACTGATAATTAATAATAATTAATAAAATTAGAGGCCCCTTCCTTGGGCGGCTCTTGTAAACACATCGACCTTGAAGGAAAAACAAACCCACGACACCAGACCCATTTGTGCAATCAGTGAAGAGCCTTGTCAACTGATCACAGTCTGTTTTGGTCTCTCTAGTCAGTAACAATTATCACAAAGTGAGAAGAAAAATGTTAACAGCATCCTTGATATACACTCAGATTAAGTTGGCACCCACCACGTACAGATAATTGAAGGATTTCACAGGATCTTCTGTGTATTGCATTCAGCACTTTCATTAAAAAATTCCATAGATATTGGAGATTCTTTGGATGAAAGGATGTATGCTCATGTAGAATGCCTTTTCAACGGTGATTAAAAACAGGTCTCTTTCCGAGAAAATGGTCAATGACCATTGACCCCTTGCCACCACCACGTTGCAAAGATGAAGGGATTAAAGAACAAATTCTATAGAACAATTGTATTTTATATAGAGGATTGTAACTGATACTATGTACCCATTCTTTTGTTCCATGTGCAGACCGTGATCATTGTTGACCGCAACTAATTCCAAGACAGCGGACTTAACAAAGAGACAGGGTTCTTATTTATGATCACAGTCTTCTCTTTTGTTTCATTGCAGTTCAAATAGCAACGAACATCAAGGTTTTCACTCAGGGGGCAACTGGACTCATCTCATGCCTACGTCGGACATTCATCACCTTCGGAATCGGAACTAACTCCACTGGGGGAGTCTTAACTAACTCCACGGGGGGAGTCTCTACTAACTCCACGGGGGGAGTCTCTACTAACTCCACGGGGGGAGCCTTAACTAACTCCACGGGGGAATCTTAACTAACTCCACGGGGGGAGTCTTAACTAACTCCACGGGGGGAGTCTCTACTAACTCCACGGGGGGAGCCTTAACTAACTCCACGGGGGGAG